TATGCCGTAAGTGACCAATAAACCTCCCGTTAAACCTCATAAACCAGAAGATGCAAGACATTAAGTGATTGCTTGTGTGAGCTTCCATAGTTAATAAATACCACGTAAACAATGTGGCAGCTTGGTAATGTCTTACGAGCACGAAATGAAGGAAAACTTGCATACAATTAGATCTTGTAAGCAATGTTGCGCAAACGTCTCTTGATGTTCCATCCTAACCTAGAATACTGTGCAAGAATGATATTGGAATGCAGAGAGGCTTCCCTGTAGATGTACAGGCGTATAAGCATTTTAAAGTTTTAAATGTTGAATGTCATCCTTGCGCATTGGACATCACTATCTCCTCTGTATAGTTCAAATTTTAGAATATGCACCCCCGGGCGAGTGTGACAAGACGGTGTACCCAGGTTTCTAACCCCAACCGCACGACTCACAATCCCGCACGCTACCACTAGGCTACACTCGGGTTATGCCTGCCGCTTATACGTTAGCTCAAAAACCGTCCGTCAAAGCAACGACAAAGTAAAGAATGCAAAAACCAAAATTCCTCACACTGTTTAGAGTTTTTATAGATTAACGAAGCTGCATAACACGATTTCAGCATCTATTTCGCCAGTTTTCACATAATTTGGTCGCTACAGGCGATAGAAGAATTGGCCACTACCGGTTACAACACAGCGTACAGCTCAGTATTTGGCGGAAGTCAAGCTTCGTGTCTTTCGTCCGGGATTCTCGTTCCGAAGATAGGCGATGAATGAGAATTGGGGTCAGTAATTTTGTCACTATCGACGTTAGACTAATTCCCTTTTGTGGTTAACACATACGGTGCGACTGCCCTGTTCGTAGATTGATATCATGATCGATTCACACCGGTTGGCTGTAATAGTCTCATATTTCTAGGCCTGTCATCATAATTGAGCAACATGATCTGTTTGCGTGGGATCTTTTTCGAGAGCAAGATGAGCAGATCGTTTACGCGCGAGTTCAGAGAGTAGAATCCAACAGCGGTACAACTTTCCCTGGCATAACGATAGTCTATAGTACGATGTCATCACAAAAATTGCTAGATTTGTGTTCGGGAGCCAGTCTCCATCTATGACTATTAACCTGGATAGGACATGTTATTACAGTCGGTTACATACGTGAACTTGACACAAACTGAGGTCAGATTTCGACATCTATTTTTACCGACACGTCAACGAAGTTCGTAGATCTTAAGAAGCGCTGACCTTGTTCCAGTGCATTTTTGTTACTGTATTGGACATATATCCCGTTGGTTTTTGCATTGAAATACGCTCGAACTGTATGCGGTGATAAAGAAATTCATTATTAACCGATTTATCATGGCGAAGTACGACTGTATCGCTGGGCTAAAGGTACCATCTTGTATCTGCCAGTTAGGTGAATGGTTGGAATCATCTTTTACAACAGCCCGGGTAATCCAAGACACTTCCGCTTTAGTTGGGAAGAGATTTGTGTAGCATTTGGGTCGGTGATAACATGAAGTCTATTGAGCGGCCGTATCCGGTTCGGTACTCACGCATGCAGGAGCTTATTACTAGCAATGAGGTCAATTACAATCCAGAGGTTACTGTAATTTGGCGAGCATGTAAGTTGATGCACATGGCGGTGCAGAAGAGATGCAGTGTTGAGGTAGGGCTTGCGGCCGGTATATAGCGTTGCTATCAGAACGAAAAGAAACAAGAAACGGCCACCAAGGAAGTATTCGAATACTCATAGATGTTCGACTTGAACATTCAGGACACAAAGTCGAACATAGTACGCGTACGTTGTTTATTTGTAGGTACAGGAAGAGAGCGATACACAGAAGTAATCATTGAAAGATTCTTGGGTGCAATCGACTGGAGAATAACGGGAACCAAAAATGTACCAGGGTTGGGAAGAGCAACACCCAAATATATCCATTCAGGATACGGTCCTCGAGATCGGAATGACTGAGGTTTACCTCAAAGTGAGCCGAGGTCACAATAGAGGTTGCAAGTCACAACCCAACCACACAGCGTGCTCCCTAAATTCAGCTTAGAAAATGTACCATACCTTCAGATCGATGATTAAAAATGCGTGTGGACATTCACTATGATCCATGCAAGAAAAGCGCCATCTAAAATTTGTTGAGACCGAATTTAATACAGTAATTGATTTGAAAATGAATTCGACATTGTCGGTGAAGTGGGGCGTGTGACCATCATCGTCGAGACTCAAAAGTGAGGTCAGCGTGGAGAGCAGTTGGTGCGGCAACCAGATAGCGAGTACTCAACAAGGGACGACAATTAAAGCGACCCGTTGCTTGATGCTTAACCGGATGCCCTATCAACTTTCATCGCTACACCGCATTTCGATGCGTGGACTATCACCGAAACAGTGCACTCCGTGTGGGCATACACTGGGACTGCACTGAAATCCGGGTGAACAGTCCAGATCAACTGATAGTGATGGCCGTGTAGGCAAGTCGAGTCCGGGTCAGCTTACTGTTCGCCAATCAGAAATCTGTGATAAGTAGAACGGTGATGAAACCGGTCATCGCTATCAGTCCGGTAAGTGTAGGCTCGGAAACGGCCCCACGCAACGTGTAGTCTGTGACGAACGTCCCATGTGAGCATCCCTGTTATTGGCAACGATTGCAGTGTTCATTTGTGACTGATGGAAACAGAATTTCTCCGACAGCGATGGCGGTGTGCCCGAAAACGATAAAGAGGCACCCATATTCAGCTAGTGCTTGTTAAATCCGAGTGAATTTTGAAAGCAAGCAGTAAATAGGTGGTCATTTGCCAAAACACATTCAAGAAGAGCGCATCACGTGGGTCTGTTTCCAGCAAAACCGATCCAAGATGTGCCTCTGGTTAATAACTAGGCTTCAATAGACACGCGAGAAGTGTAGCTAACGTACTGGTATAGAAGTGTGGAAGTGGAAATGCATTGAGAAGCTGTCTCCTAGTGCATTTAATTCAGTTAAACTCAGATCAGCGCGATAATAAGAGGATGATGTGACAAAACGTGGAGAGAGCTAGGAAAAAGTGAGCGTAATTAATTTGGTTCTGTTAAATTTGGGTAAAAATTAACTTCTTCGTCAAGCTGTATCACTTCTCTGTGAAAACACCGTGGTCCTAGTCCCACCCAATTTCACCGTACACAACCGATAACACACCGCGTGAGCTTTAGACAGCCACATTCACAAACCACTAATGCAATTAACTTATTCAATGATTTCGCTTCAAATGATAATTCCCGTTTCAGTCACGAAAATATGGTGAAGCGAACAAAATCGCCTCCATTGAATCATCATCAGACAAAGTACGATACATCTATTTTATTAGAACATACTTTATGTCACAACAGCACACTACTTTAGTTTCATCGGCTTGCTTATAACTTCACTGTTGTGTGAGGCCGTCTCCGTTCACTGCAAACCGAGACGTGGGACCATGTACGATTTCTAGTACCACCTTAACAGGATAACACAAAAACATTTTCAGCGCAGACTATCTGTAAAGATTTGCTGATCGCAGCAACAGTATACAGTTGGCGGCATCTGGTTCCGGATTTGCTTGTCACTGGGGCATGTACAGAACAACCACAGGACGCCTAGTCATACAGAGGGACCATGGGTGGTATGCGCTGCCCCACCCATAGCTCCATCCACATACCATATATCCAGTGTAAACCCGAAGGAATAAGACCGGAAGGCATGTGGATGAGAGCCACGTATCATCAGCGGAGCCGGAGCACACTCCAAAAACAAGCAGAGCGGAAACATTCATGACTAAATGGGGAATCCTACGTACTAGACATACACAAGGTGGTAGTTGGGACTTAACCCGTTCCACACAGGATACATGGAACCACTCTTTGAAACTAGCACCGTCACGAGGATGGTACACCCCGTCCCCTCAAGCAACGAGCTACTGTCTCCTAAAACCGGTATAATCGAGGTTACGGTTTTTGATGGATAGGCACCTAGTCGGCATTCACATAAAGCGCAGTCACGCTGGGGATATCAGACAATCAACACAGAAATGAAAGGAAAATAAACACGCAAACTGAACAGTAAATGTGCGGCAGAAAGATAAAATAGAACATAAGAAAAATGTGTATTAAGGCTGACCAAGTCCAAGGGTGATGTTTACCAACGTAAATTGAAAAGTAGAGGATATCAACCAACAGACAATGGAAATGAAGGAGAAAAAGCGCGCAAAATAAATAAGGCTATATACAGAGAGGATTAACAGAACTTAGCGAATAAAATGAAATGGATTCAGTCAGACCTATTGTAAGGTGGAACAAGCGAACAAGTTGCTGTAGCCGAACTGCAGTGAAGAAGCATAATAAATGCAACATAAACCTAAGCATTATATATATATATATATATATATGTATGGTTATTAAACTTCACTTATTACCACCGCCGCATGTTCGGTGGCTTAAGCACGAGAGGGGTCCGAAGATAAATGGAAAATGCCCCATGGATATCTCAACTGAAGATTGATGCACAAGGAACAATGAGCCATGCCAATAACAAGGCCCTATGCTTTCTTGGCTACCTAAAGGAGCTGCAACAACACGGAAACCGCTCTGAAGAAGCACTCAAGCAGTTGCAAAATACAACGCTGGTAGAAATATAACTAAATCCTGCGATATAGCAAGGCGAAAGGAAGACAAACACTATTCTCTGAAGTTTAATGTATTCATGGTTGTACGTGTTGAGCGTCGTTACTTAGTTTCGGCACTGACAGTTAACGGACTGCATTGCCACTTCTTTGGTCTCTGCAATTAGCTGCTCGAATCACGGTTGTGGTGTAGTGTGAACCACTTTTGCTGCTTGTCTCACACTTGCGATAAACATGGAGCTAAACTCAGCAACAACAGTAAAAAGCAACCTGTGTTGAGCGATAGGCACTTCCCAAATGGAACAATAGAAAAGTGAATTTCGAAGAGGTACTAAAAACAATGTCGTGGGAACCAAAGTGATAGGAAAAACTTACCAGGGACGATAACGAGTTGTCTGCGGCGACGGTGTTTGAGAGAGTAGTTGTAAGAGAAAGACCAGGTTTTGCCAGTGGAGGAGCGGAGAAGCTCACTTGAATCGGTCGACCATGAAACTGATGAAATAGGCGCACAGTTGCTTCAGCGAAGTCGCGAGTGCAAAAGGTAATTTCTAAAACGGGTTGGCCATTGATGGCGTCCACATGTTTCACTGTTTGCTGCGTGTGAAGATAGTTAAGCTGTTACGAATCGACAAGGGGAGAAAATAGAAGACAGATGAAAAGTCCAACGGTGGTAAAGTGGGTGCCCAAAGAGAGAAGACTTAGGAGCGATGTGTGAACACGGTTCGCCACAAACTGATGACGTACACACACATAATCGCTCAAGTAAAGAAAAATAATGCATACAAAGAGTTGTGACGAGAGACAAGCCCGACAGTTCGTGTATATTATTCGAAAAGAAGAGTGCATACAGCGTGGTCGGCTGTTTTCACGAAGAGAGTGATGGTACATCTGTATCGTAGACTTTCAAAATGTAGGTCCAATAGAAATGCAATCAAACGAAAGCAGAGTACCAAAGGCTCATGAAGTATTGAAAAAATTTGCACAAATGAATGACAGAATAATAAATATGGACTCACAGCTAATGCATTCTGGAAATCTCCCAGGTCCTCCGATAAAAGCCCAGAAACGAAAAGTGTGCGTGGCCGTTTGTCCAATTTCGTTTGAGTTCGGGAAGGATAAAACTCATTGGGGTCAACGGTTCCTGAACCCGTTTCATTCGCAGAGGCAGTGAGGTCCGAAGGGCGAACAGTCTCCAGCTCGACGAGCTATGGGGACAAATACATGCGATGTGGATGTAGCGTTAAAGGCAAAATAGAGCAAGCAATAAATAAGGGGAAAATAAACTGACTAGTCACACAGCACAATGAGAAGAGATTCTCGTGTGAGTGAAAAAACGTCTGGTGGGCAGAAAATTGGTGAAAATGTAAGAAATGAAGTAAATTCGTATACGCTCCAGATTACTCAACAACCATTGCCTTGTTGTTTCTCAATTTGCCGGAGGAACGTTTGGTCAGACGAGGCAAGTGAGAAATGCGAATGCATGCAAGAGAATATCCCTTTCCAACGCTGAGCACGAAGAAGCAACACTACACAGCACACTGAGAACAGATGATAAATGAGAAGAGTGTGCCCTCAATCTGACATCTGCATACGGGTATGCAGACATAACTCTTTGCTAAATTAGTATGAAGTAAGTTTGTTAGGAATGAATCCGCGATAAGTACAATATGTCCAGAAATTACTCAAAAAATTGCTACAACCGCAATAATTTAACGAAGATAAGCGCAATTTGCAGAAGCAACGTGGCCAGTGAATAGAAGATTATTCAGGTAGGCAGAACAAACCAAATAAAGTGGAATAAAATTTATCCAGCTTAAAAAGACCGTTTAAGTGTAAATTGGTTTAGCCCAACTGCGGTGTAGAAACATCAAGAATGCAACATCAGCCTCAGCATAGGGCACGATATATATATATATATATATATATATATATATATATATATATATATATATATATATATCCGAGCATTATACGCGCGTGGCGTGGGCGGAGTGAGGGCTTACGGCAAGCTGTCGCCGTCCTTCAATATATCCAGTGGTGTAAGACAACGATGCCCGCTGTCACCTTTCCTCTCCAACTTCGCTATTGACGAAGCCATGAAGATTGCGTTCACAAAACACGACTTGGAAGGTGTGGGGTTGCTTTCAAGTGAACGACTTCTTGATTTGGAGTATGCCGACGACATTACCCTAATCTGTGACAGCCCCAAATGTGCCAAACATCATTGGAGAAATTAGCGTTGCCTGTCAGCCGTTTCGGGCTTTATTTCGCACCCTAAAAGTGCAAAGGTTTCCTCCAAGATTGACAGAGACGGCCTATTGCGTTGACCCTCGGTGTGGATCAGGTAGAAGTACGACACTTCAACTACGTGAGAAGTTGTACTAGCGCCGCTGGAATTAAAGACGTCACAGAGCGTATGACAAAAGCATGAGGCGCTTTTGCTAACCTTCGCCACCTAACGCACCGACGCGACATCACTCTCTCCTTGAAGGGTAGATTGTACAGTGCAGCCGTACGTTCGACCCTACTGCACGGTTGTGAGACCCATTAGATCAACCGAAATAAAGTGGCTAGTTACGTTCGACAACCGGTGGCTTTGCAGTTTGACTCACATATAGTGGCAACACCATGTGGGCAACGACCGTATTCGACGTCTTGTTTACGGCATAGGAAAAGGAAATGAACCGCTCAGCACCGTTAGTACGCATGCTAGCCCACCGGCTCCCGCGACGTGCGTGGCTTGCGCGCCGGGGGTGTAGATGGAAGAAGAGGAGAGGTGGCCACGCTATGATTTAGTCGAGAGGAATGAAGACCCTAAGTTCGAAGCTGGCATCGGTTGCAGCGTCTCGGCCCCCTGGTATGGGACCGAAAGACCATGAAATGTTTGGCTGGAAACACTTGCTGACATGGCTAAGAGCTGACCACAATGGCGTTCGTGCTGTGGGTTTCTTTGTTTCTCGCTCCTGCTCTTAGCCTATCCTCCCAACAACGATCTCATTTATTAGGCATAATATAATTCCTAGTTTGCGTCAAAATAACCGGCTGTTAGCTCTACAGAACGATGTCCTTCGGTTACTGGTGATTCAACTGGCGTGCTTCTGTTTCATGTTTTTTTCTTTGGTATTGCGGCACAATGGCTGAGGTGTTTTTCACCTGCAGCTAACGTGTGTAGTGAATGAATTCACCGGCAAATGGGCATGTGAAGTATGCAGTTGAATCAACGCAACTTATCCGGAATTCTTGATCTAGGGGGATAATGTGGGTACCGTTATCCACGCACATCGTTTACAGCTTAGCAGTAAGAACAAAAAGTGAAGACCCTAGCGTGATTGGGATCATCAAGACGAATGTGTCAAGTCGCACGAACTAACACCATCCGGTACCAGCTTAACCGTTAAATTAGGTGAATGGAACAGCTACCCAGAATATTTGTCGTTAAGGATCAAGGTGGTTGCAACCTGCAAAATCTTTCGTAATTTAAACTTGCGCAGCGTGTACCAAAGAATGGAATCACTTCAGAGAGAGTATCAAAGGTGCCACTTCGCGATTGTGAGTCAGAAGATGCCGTCCAGTCCTTCTCGGACAAGAGCTCAATAGTTGCTACCACAGATGATCACACTGTGATGGGCTCCAGGATAAGGAAAACCGAGCGACCTGATTACTGCCACGATTTTTCAGAAGGGCGCTTTACAAATCCATGCAGGTGGTGACGCGACCTGAAGTGTTCGTAAAGGGCAATTATGCTTCACGCAGGGTAACATAGTCGAGCAGCACGCAGCTATCAACTGGGGTAAATGCGCTTTCCTGGAAGTTATTGGAGCACCAGCCGGATAGTGAAAGTATGATTGAGATAGCTTCGACAACAGTAGGTTGGCGAACAAAAATACATGTCAGTAGCTTTGTCATAATCAGTACAAAGTTGATACTCCCGTGACAAGCAGAAACGATGCAACCGCAGCTTTTGAATATACCCACTATGATCGATTCGTTCCAGTCGGGTGGGACGGTCTCCTCTGTCCATACAAGTTTAGAGGGATGGATCAGTATTTCGCGGAACACCACGCCGCTGCACCAGAGTCCGCATCGAAATTCACTACCCATGACTCAATTTACCCAACACAGGTGCGAAGAACCTCAGAGAAAAGGACCGCTGAAAGTGCTCTGTGTAATGAAACAAATTGTGCTTATGTTTTCGGACTCATTGTCTTATGATCGCCCGGAAAATTTGTGTTAGACACTGTTTTAGTTAGTATCTAATGGCACATTCGGTCGTTTTGTGTTCGGGGCCATCAAAGATTCTTTTTCTGGATTCCAGTAGGCGTCTCGACCATTCGGATAACCAGCGTCAGGTAGAGTGACGGTTGATAATGCGGAGGATTGGACACAACATTGAAGAGAAAGTCGTTATCCATAGAGCAAATGCGTGAAAGCGTAGTACGCAAGGTGCCCTGGTAAATTTATCTGACAGTCTCTCGGGAGGAAGAGGGAATCATTCTCCGCTCCTCCCATCAAAGCAAAATGAACACAGCTAGTGGACTATGGTATGATCAGAAGGTGCACGTGCTTCGTAGCCAGCAGTTTCGCTCCACGCTAACTACAACTCCCATTGACACATCTGGGAGGAGACTTGGTGGCACAGCCGACGCCTATTGTAGTCGAACGTAATTCCAATTGAAGAGGGTAGATAACCGACACACGCTTGCAATAAACGCTCGCCTATGTTCATGCTCAAAGTAACTGACTTGCGGATTCATACCACTAACAATTACATGAGAGACGTCTTCAGCAGCATGAAAAACGTAAGCGGCTGTGTTATACACAGCAATCACGAGCAAATGCAATTCCGTATCGTTTTGCGCGATAACCTCAGTTGATGATATCAAACGGCTATTCATCTGGATCCAGTTAACCATAGAAAACTCGGCCACGCAGTTGAGAACGATGCGCACTCAGAGTTGACCTGTAATTTCTGAGCGGCATAATAAGACGCAGGGAAATAGTGTCGAAAGGATCAGTCAAACGCATGTAGACTGATATTCCCGTGTGAGTGAAGCATTCTACGAGTGAAGATGAAGGACGAATTGACATTTTGGGTCTCCAGTGCGTGTATGTGTGTGTGTGCAAATGCAGCGCACGGAGTTGCCTGTTTGATTCCACGAACGCTGACTACAACCAAGGAAATGAAACAACGCGAGCTGATAAGGAGCTTTGATGTCGTGAAACGATCGAATACCGAAAAGTATGAATGCAAACTATAGACGTTCGGTATAACTGAAGCAACTCACATTTACGCCGAAATATGGAATAAAGAATAATAACAGAAGCCGAAAACAACATGTTGGTTATGGAAATCTGGGGAGACAGTGGAAGTGCTAATAATGTCCCACTCTTGTTTATCTGCCGTGCTGCAAGCAATAGATGAGATGGCTTTTGAAACCGTTGTATGGACGATGTCGCGTGAGGTCGGAGTTTGCCGCAGGTGTCACAGTTGTATGTAGGCCGCCAGGCTGACTGCAAGGGAGTGATCATAAAGCAACAGGATGGCTCAATCTAACCGAGATGAGCATCCCCTCATTCCTGATGTCCAACTTCAAAAGTCATAAGCCTGAGTAGGGCGATATCCCAGTTTTCAATCAATGATGGTCAGCTATCGTCCGATATGGTTCACCGGCGAAAGCTGCTGGCTAGTGGTGCAAGCCGCTAGCGAGCGTGGGTTCGATTCACTGAAGGGAACTGAGGGAATGAGTACCAATGACGAATCCCAATAGGTCGAAATAGTCGTCTGATTCTTTCCCGGAATGATAGTTGACCGATATGACTCGTAATCTAATTACGAGGGAATAAATAAATCTAACCAAACCTCGCTACTCATAAGTGATCTCTAACCGTTGATCAGTAAGGCAGGAGTAAGTCTAAAGATGCTTAATGGAGTTGAGGGGTAGAAGAGAATCCGGTCAGTTAAAATGTGATGAGCTAGCTTTCATGGTATCTGTAACCAGTAAGTGGAATAGATACTGTGTCTAAATAAGTGAAGAGAGAACACTATGCCAGGAAATAATGGATAACGTTAAGAAACATTAGAATGGTAAGCAGCTGGAAGTTGACGGCGTGATACAGAATCGATGACACGGCATAGCAGCAAACCCTGGATGCAATCCATTCAGTCGTTTCATGCAATGGGTGACAATCAACCTTTCTGTGAAGTTTCTTTCTATTGTTAATTCATTGTGTGTTCACCAGGGTCGGTTGATTGGGTTCAGAGCTTCACGGTATTTGCGCTGCGGTTATTATAAGTGTTTTTGTGAACCGGTCGAATTTAGCTAACAGAGTAACCAACCACACTGTGGTTGTCAGTTCCTCATAATTTCTGAATACTGTATTATAGAGCAAGTAGAAATGAATTCTGTACAGCTCTTTCGAAATATGGTGAAAAACATAAAAATTGCCAGCAGTGAATATCGGTATTGTTCTCATGTAACAGTTAAAATATTCGACTCACGGTATTGCAGGACTCACATATGTGACATGTCACCGTAAGTGCGCAATCGTTCTCTGAATCGAATAGTGGTAACATATAAATTTAAAAACATTTTGAACTGTTGCACAGATGTTGCCTCCATCATATGTTCAGGCAAACTGTTCCAAATATTTACTACTCTCCGTTCGAAGCACAGTGGAGGGAGAACAGGCTTAACATCGTGCACGACAAGTTTGTATCTGTGTCCGCATGTGCTGCATGGTCCTTGTAAGTGCAGCATTGGCCTCAGCATGGGGAAGTCACCGAGATGAAGAATACGGTAAGTCATAACGAGGTCGACTCGCACCAGACGGTAGGACAAGGTGTAGAGTCCTAGTTTCTCACACCGGTCTTCATACCCAAAGCCACGTACACTTGGGATGAGCCTGATGGCAACGTGTTGGACCCGTTCGATCATTTGTGCCTTGCCCCGGGGAATCGGAAAGTAGGCGGACGAACCGTACTATAGCACTGGCCTAATGATGGAAGAGAAGAGACAAATAGCAACCTCTTCAGACCATGTACCGAAGCTACATTTCAGCGCCCAAAGCATGCGCAGTCCGTTACGGTATAGCGTGTTTGTGTTGTCCACGGACTGCAAATCGTAGCGCGAGTGTACACATAGGTCCTTCAGGGAGGGTGTGGGATATAGCGGTTGGCTGTCAAGGGTGTAGGTTCGGTCACCAGCACCCTTCCCTAGGCTAATAACTACAGACTTTGCTGGGTTGACCGGGAGAAGAACCTCTGCAGACCATGTGGATAGGCGGTTGAGGTCTTGTTGAAGTAGGCCACAGTCGTCAGGAGCGTCAATTTATCTCCAAATCTTCATGTCGTCCGAAAACAATGCACAAGGCAACCGGTGAAGCTAAGGTAGATCATTGTGGATCAGGAACAGAGTGGGTCCCAGCACAGTGCCTTGAGGCACGCCACTTGTAGTGTGATACCAGTCAGTTAGGTGGTCGTCGACCTGTACCCTCCACTTTCGTCCAACAAGAAAGTCGCAGTTCAACCGGGACAGTAAGCCACCGACATCCCCACATCCTGAGTTTGTGAAGGAGAACCTCATGGCTGATCTTGTAGAAGGTTTTAGTGAAATCGATGAATCGAGTACACAGAATTCCCCTTGCTTATTGTCTTCAACCACTCATGGCGCGTCAAAAACAAGTTTGTAATTCATGAGCGGCCTTGCATAAAACCGTGCTGTGCGGGCGTCAGGACGTCGTTTGACTGTAGCAACTGCAGCCATCCCTTCTTCACGATTTTCTCAGCAAGATTTGTCAAAAGAGGTGTAAAAAAATTGGCCTGTAGTTGTCTACTTTGCTAGGGTCGCCGCCTTTCGGAATAGGCTTCATCACCGAACATTTCCAGTAAATCGGCAACGAATTTTCGGACAGCGACCTGTGGAAAAGGTCAGTCACGACAGGAGAGATGATGGTCGAAGGTGACTTGAAAATTAGTGGATGAGGCACATCAGGTCCGGCAGGTTTGGTACCATAAAGGTTGGCGAGTAGTTGACATACCACTTCAACGCTGCAATCCAGACTGTCGAGTTCGGCAAAAGCGTTACACGTCGAACTCAGAACAGACACCTGGTCATTTGCAAATACAGAAGCGAAATGCGCCGCCAACACTGACACACGCTCATTGCTGGAGGTCAAGGGCTGTCCATCCGGGCCATCCAGCACTGGCACATCACCTGCCGGCTTCAGGCGTCGCTTCACGTAAGCAAAGATTCCCTTTGGGGTGGTCTTCGTGGCGATTGCGAGCTGCTCTTAGAAATGTCGGCGCTTATTACTTTTTGCATTGTTTCAGAGGTTCCGTTGACTTGTATACCCTTCGTAGTTATCAGCAGAGCCAGAGGGGAGGAATGTGTCCCACAGTCCGCGCCGCCTCCGAGCCAGATTTTCATACTCCTTGTCAAACCAAAGAGGCTTAATCAGTCCAACCTTCCGACACTTCAAGGACACAAATTGGGAGCATAATTATGTCAAATTCGCATTTATAAATGTCCAACAGTCATCCACAGATGTAGCTTGGGACAGAGACCAATCCAGCTGGTTCGCAGCTAGAACTAGACCATCGAAGTCCGTTTCCCAGTAGTTGTAAGCAAGTTCCAGCGGACGTGAATACGACCAAGGGAAATCCATATCAGCTGTGAGCACTGAGTGGTCGCTTGTAACCAGGGACTCAAGGATCCGAACGTCACGCACTCGTATTTCGTCAACATCAGGTCGAGACAGGATGGAGTTGAGCGTGGTATTATGCACGTTGGCTGGCATATGTGTTGCCATGCATCAGTTTCAAGTATCAAATCCACGAACTTTGCTTCAACCTAAGTATGTCTAGGTGTCAAATGCACATCAGGCCATCGTATTGGAAGACAGTTAAAATCGTACATAAGTAGAAAGTTGGGATAACTCATGTGGGTTCGAAGATGGAGCAGATAATCAAAATATTGACTCAGGGGGTTGCGATAAATTGCAACCACAAGTAGTTCTCCGCGCCTGAGGCGCATGGAGCACCACAGTAGCCCACACAAACCATTGTCACCTCGGTAGGTGCTCACACGTCTCCCACGCAGGGAAGACCGGATGTAAAGCAAGACACCACCGCGGACATTAGTTAGTCTATCGCATCGGAAGCACGAGTAATCGCTGAGTTCAAGTTCCTGGGTGTATAACTCTGAATACAGCCATGTCTCTGCGAGTTCCACTACGTCTGGCCGCTCAGACGTAACGAAACAACAAAGCTCATCGCGCTTGTTCATAACGCTGCAAACATTTATGAAGGCTACTAGCAGGTCGCAGCAGGAGCCGCCAGGGCGTGCTTGAAGTGTGATCAGCCTGTTTATCCTGATTCGCAGATTCTTGGAAACCAACGGAAAATTTACGAAACAAAGAGTTGTTTCCCCCTCACTTGTACGTCTTTTCAGTTCAATGACGGCGGACTTGAGCCGCTCCCTCTCTACTAGGTCCAGGTATGGACGAACATGGACCTTCAAACCATTCAGCCTACTTACGCGGGACATTATCAGTCTTGGATTGGCTTTGTTCACAAAAGTGATTCTCATAGGTCGATTTTGTTGATCCCCTTGTTTTCCAAGACGGGTAATTTGCCTCACTTTTACTGAGTCCTCACCAGTGTCGAGGAGTCTGTCAAGTAGAGTTTGTGAAACTCGATTTCGTGATCGTAGCGCACTTGAGTCGATGGACCACTGGACTCCGGCGCGTGGAAGATCACGAGGTTATAACGCCTCTGGTCGGACGAGGTTGAGCTTGCAGGAAGAAGTATATTACTCGCCTTACCTGGTTTGGCTCTGTTGACTTACAGAAGTTAAACGCCCAAACATCCCTTCGTAATTTCGTGCTTTCCACTGGTCTTCAGCACTCAGACTATCACCTGCTGGGACGTCAGTGCCTGTTGAACACAACAAAGGTAAACAATTTATGCCAGGTGCAACTGGGCTTCCCACAACGGTTGGACTTCGTGTCGGTGAGTTTGCACAGGTAGAGGAAGAAGACAGATCTGAAACCTGAAGGCTGTTCGGGCTAAGTTGTTGGGCCAAATACACGGAGCTGTTCGCAAAGGAATGATGAAGCCTACACGTCGACTTTACTCTTCCTGGCTGTATCTTGTTTCGGCAATTTTCACATACAGTTTGAAGGAAATCGTGTTGGATTTCATGAAGACGATGAAAATGTTCAACTGATAATCCAACACATGAAATTTGGTATATAACTTCGCACAAAACACAGGCGAGGGCAATTGCACGGAACAAGTACCATAGCATTGTAAATAATCCGAAAACAAGATGGCGGCCAACTGCTGGAGAGACTGGCGATAGCAAGATCGCCGAAAGCAAGCGATGAAAACACAAGTATATCTGGTCGAAAAATTCAGAATTAGAAATGAGACTAAATGGTATCTAAATTTCACGAAATACTTCCAATGAACGAAGAAATCCAACACAAAATGATCTTGTCAGCACAGCCAAAAATAACCGACCGGAGGCCGCTATCCGAAGTCGATGTGGAAATAAGCGATGAAACTGCATCTCTTATCGACTGACAGCTTGAAGCGAATCTGGTTTTGGAACTAATATGAATACAAATAAGAAAATTACCTGACGTTTTAATTCAAGAACCCTGCGTCTTTCCTCGACTACAGATTCGCCTTTCGAAAGAAGAGCAGCAATATCGTCTTCAACTTGTTTTAATGTGGCGCGAACCTGAATAGCAGGATAAAAAGAAGCAAGGTGACTCGACTGAAAATGGAATGGTATACGAAAAACAGCAACCGATAAGGATAACAAATGTGTTGGCCAGAGGATGAGCAAAGAAAAGGAAATCAGAAAAAATACTGGTCCGATAGGTCAATAAGCAATGAACCGGGTATTCGGAGATGGCAATAAATTCACATTTTTCCAACTGTCAGAGGTAGCTGTGGTCACTTAAGAACAAACCATCGCATACCAGTAAGACACTACTAGGTGATGCGATTTCGCAGGGATATCGCGGATGTGACCGTAGGGAATTAGGCAGTAAGTCGCAAAAGAGAGAGAGTGAGTCGTAAGAGACACGGTGCATTAAATGGCGGCGTGAGTCCGCCCAAGGAACAGAAACATCTGTAGTTGTGTGGTAACAAGTGGTCTATTTTAGTCAACTCACAAGACTACAGTACAGCGATATTCATAACAGAAAAAAGGAGAACTGTCTATTGGAAAACTGCTAGTATACAAGGTTTGGCGCATAAGGCGTTCCAAGCATGGATAGTGGTTATGAGGATCCCGGTCCATTAACTGCTGTATGGATATATGAATGATGGCATATGCCGAAGAACCGCGTCCAGGTGGCACTAAAAAGCGGTTACAAACAACTTCATATTGAACACACGTTTTGTTTGGGAACGACCAATGGTGAAGGTGGGTGAGACACATAGACAGGTTCAATGTGAAGCCTCACAGTGTCTGGAGAATACATCGAACCAGGAGGAAACCGACACCGTAATCAACTAACTATGCGAGCCGCTGAGGTGAGTGAGACAAAGTAAGAAAGAGACGGCAGTTCTGACCGGGTGTGACTGACCTCTGCAATTAGCTTTCTGCGCTCAGTCGCAAGAGCATCCGGAAGAACTTGAAGTGCAACAGCGCTTATAGCAGTGGTTCCAATAGTAGACGGTTCTGTCCTGATGGAGGTTGCGCATGACAAGTGTTTCTTGTGTTTAGACAAAGCGGCTTGCAGCTCTGATTGGATGCGCTTAGCCTCAGCCAATAACTGGCGTTTTTCCTCAGGGTGGGGTGGCTTCGCTCGTTGGGTCCCATGCAGGGAGGAATCCGAGGGAATCGAAGAGGACTTGATTTCCAACAGCGCCAGTATCTCTTTAAGTCGAACCTTGAGACGTAGAATGAGTTGAGATTGCGCTTCTAAAATATGTTGCTTTGTTTCCCGAGACTGAAACAGAAAAAAGACGTTTCAGTGAGGATCATGCAGGTGCACAGAAACAATGAGAGCTACAACGGGAGCCAAAGTGCTTGTGACAAGAAACGTATTAGGGAGTCCAGGGTGTCAAAATAAAAAGCAGCAAAATTAAGGTTCAAAAATGAAGTGGAAGTAGGTTGAGGACAAGTAGACGGACAGCACAGGTACCGTAGTGAGAAACTGGAAGCTGAGCATTAGAGAGAGAGAGAGAGAGTACGCGAAGGTCATTAATTTCGTTCGAACTACCGGTGAGATCGAATTAGCAGATAAGATTCCAGGGATAAAACGCGCCAGTACAACTCACATCTTCGATCAGGTCTGAGTGCTGAACCATCAAATGGTCGCGAAGGGATTAATCAAATGAGTCATTCTCGGTATACAAAAGACACACAGGGGCGGTGATATAAACGACCTAAGCAAAGTAGATAACGAACAAGTGTCCGACGACTGAATGACTTGCTAGAAGACGATATGTGACACCTAGTGGTGAGCGTCAATATCAATCAGCAGGAAGAAGAGTGCGACATGATACTGATGAGCCGCTTAACCACTCCCCTGTGATAATTAATGGCTCAGGAGGGACGCTTGCAGAATGCCAACAGCCCACCGCGTAAAAGGCGTTATTAAGTCAGCTAAGTGATCTAAGTGACGCGTAGTCGATGGATCGACCATAATACGAATACTTTTGAGTTCATAGTGACGTTCATCATCATGCCTCAAACACTACCTTATCTGCAGTTGTGGACTAGAGCAAGCAAAGGGGTTAGCCTCAAATGTTCATCTAACAACACACGAAGGGTAGATCACGACCCGCATGCGTAGCTCATGACGAAGCCGATGGAGCTTAGTGCGCGAAATTACGATGCTGAGTGGTTCACTTTTTCCTCCCGGGTTGTAAACAAGTGCCCAACATGCTTATTGCTCAAGCAGTGCTCTTACTAGATGTGAACTAAACTGCGAGGGCACCAGTGGCACATCTGTTTATCTGATGGACAAGGATCTACAACGGCACATTAGGGTTGAACGGACGATTCCATTGTATACTCTGCCCTTCAGGGTAAGAGTGATGTCGCGCCGAAGGCACAACTAGCGAAGTTGAGCAAAAACATCTCAAACTTCTGTTTTAAATTCTGCCACATCACATTCCATTCCACAGGCGCGGATCCAGCTACCTAGGTAGTTATGTTTTTGAACGACTTCTAGTTGACCCTTACCAAAGATTCGGCAAAGGGGATTGATCCAATCTTCGTGGAAAGTTGTACATTTTGAGGGTTCAAATCAAGCCGAAACAACTGACAACCAATGCTAAGTTGTCTAGAGCTGTTTGGCACATTTGCGAGCTGTCATAGACGATGGCAGTTTCGTCGGCATAGTCCAAACCGAGAAAGTCGATCACCTAAAAGCAGCTCCACGCCTTCTGAATCGTGCCCGATGAATGTATGTTCTATAACTTCGTCAGTACCGACGTTAAAAAAGATAGGTGACATCATGCATCCACGTCTCATACCGCGGGGGATATTTAAGGGTGGCCACAGCATGCAATAAACCCTCACTTTCACAATACATATCTCTTGGGCACACTATTCATGAAAAGACTGCCCAAAGGGAATATCGATTCATCGAATCGAAGGCACGATGGTTGTCGAGAAATACGACCACGTAGGTTGCCAAGGTAAGCGGATGTGCTCCAACAACTGATGTAGTGAGAATATGTAGTCAACGCATTGTCAATTTCGAGGAAATCCGGCTTGCTGTTCACACAGCTGGTTTTCACGAGTACAAACCAGTCCAAGAAGGATAACGAAGGCAACTAAACTGAAATATTGCATGGTTTTGGACAATGGAAAATGGCTCTGGTGTTCTGCCAATTAGAAATAATACCCCAGGATGAAATCACATGCGCAATACACTCTGCCTCCATGAAGTCGAACTGACATTTGCTGGTATTAAGGCGGACATACAGTTCATTCAATCTGTGCAGCACGTTATGAAGGTCTTCATATGTTAGGTGGGATTACTACCGAAGACACAAATGTCGTCCATATTCACAACATTTGCTTTAAGATCGGATAGCGATAGAGTGATAAATTTCTGGAGAGCGGCTGAGGATATACTAAGGCCTATTAGGTGCATTTTGTACTCATGCAAACGGTCTTGCGTGAGGAAAGCAGTTTAATGTCACCAACCTGGAGTCAGTTTTGAGAACAGCTTGGCGGGTGAAAACCTAACCATCAACTCGTTGACAGAAAGCAGAGGGACTACGTCCAATATTATATACTGATTAAACGCCCAAGGTCGGTACATACACAAACACATCCAATTTTATTGAATGGCGGCTAATGAATGTACCCATTCAAAACATTAGTATAGATTTTATCGAGTCTTCAATGACCATTTGTTTCAAAGCTTGCGAGGAAGCCTCGCGTTTGGAAAGAGGTATAGGTCTAGGTTGTGAGACATTGAGTGGATTGTATTCCGCGCTCAAACGAATGCAGTGCATTGTTTTCGGGACTCTACCAATGACCACAAGAAAGAGAGCTGGGTAACAGGACGGTAGCGAAATAAGGGTGATACCGATAATGATCATCCGGCTGACCCATGGTGATATAATCAATATGACCATGGCGTTACGTCCCAAGAAAGGATTTCTATTAGTTTTTAATATGTAAACTTCAACGGTATGCTTCCTGCTGTCCTTTAGAAACATTGGAACCGTAGCATAGCCGGGTAGTTGAACACCACCATTTTATTCGCTGCTAAAAATATAAACGGAAGGATGCACAGTTATCTGGCCAAAACACTGTTTCTAAAAACAATATGGCGCCGCTGTGATGGGCCACGCGGAATCCAGTTCAATGTCTAGACAAATGGTTTTGTTTCTAACTTCAAAAAACCCAACGAATATTTGGTGAAGGCAGTTTGAGTTCTTGAGTGGGAAACGAAGTGAGTGTTCACATTCACAAACGCCATATATGAAATGCTCAGTAGTGACTGGAGAAGCTGTAGAGTCATTAGCAGAATCAACACAAGAAATGGCACCGGAAAGACAAACACGGACAAAGTGACCGGATTTGTCACAGTTCCAGTGGACTGCACTCGTTGCAGGACACGATCTATTATTTGCATGGTGTTCAGCATGTCCACAACGGTAAGACTTATTTCCAACTGGGGATTGCGTCAGAGAACGTGTTGAATTCAAACGGTCAATTTCAGTAGCTAATGCGTTAGAGAGAAATATTTTGTTCTGTTTCCTGACTGCGAGCTTCGCGCGAGCCCCGTCACAAGCCCTGTCTCATGTGAGTTTCTCTGCGTCCTCCATTAACAGACGCACTCTGGTCCGAGAATGCGCAAGGCCAGAAATTAGTTGTTGTATTGGCATAGTCTCCTCCACTTCGATCTTGGGAATACTATCGTAGTCACACTTTCGAAGGAAACAAACAAGACGAGAAACGAAAGCATCCAGCGATACACCAGATATTTGCTTCAGCTGCGAAAAATTGTACCGAGAGGTATAACTGTTTACTCGAAGGCTCTAATGTTAATCGAGGGCCGATAAAGCATATTTTAAGGTGGCTTCTTCAGAAGGTTTAGAGCACCAAATATACGTTGACTCTCTGAGCCGAGGTGTGAGCGCAAAACCCTTAAAGTGTCCTCGGTTTTTAGTGTCACGGATGGATTGATAAATAATGACACGGAAATATAAGTCGAAAAACTGATTTTCCATTCCTTCCAGCATTCTTCATTTCGAGTAATCACAGAATCAGTCAAGAATGGAGCAGAGGCAGTAGCGTCTAATGACATCGGTACCATGCAACGCAAATTTATAGTGACCGAATGGCAGAAGACTAGTGTAGCAACGGAACGTATGTATGAGGCAGTCCGCACATGCACTCGTTGCAATAAAATAGGTAGACTTATACAAATGCAACCAATCATGGCTGATCCAATGTATGTTAAGTACGTGGCCTGGGTGGTGTAAACGAATCGATAAAAAGAGCAAAACAAAGCAAGATACACGACAGTATATAACGTGCAACAAGCAATCGTTTAACGGTGGCAGCCAAACAGTACTGATAAAAATAAAAATCTGCGACAAACTGTCGGAGAAATTTGAATGCAAGACGTTCACGTGATAGCGACTATGAGTTCAATGGTAAAACAGCTTCTTGGACAACATAAGCTACATGGCGAACCTTAAACGGTGCGAGGCGTCAACAAGTGCTCTTTAAATATGGCTTAATCGGAGCACAACCGACGTAGGTTGAGAAGGCACTCTACCACTGTGTTTGATAATCATTTGCTACGGACTGTCGAGCGATGCACGTGACTCGTGTGTGAAGAAAAATGAGGGTGACCAAACCAATCATGACCGGCCATGTGCATACATTACAGACTTGTCCTTTTACGTGTGTTAGTTACCATATTGGCGACGGATTTATAAGTCCACGATGGTCTCCATCGGAAAACTGGAGTAGTACCCTGAAGGATCCGGTTCATGGAACCATTACATTGAGCGTTTGATTTGTTCTCTCCCGGCCAATAAAATCGTCAGTGACAACCGCAAGGTGAAGAGCCTACTGACTATTTGTGGCTCACAAACACAAATTAATTCGCAGCTTGGTGACTCCCGATTTACCATGCATCAAAAAATTTAATAAACTGGTTACACTGGTTGCCAAGCGCTACAACCCAAAGCCATCAGCGATGGTGCAACGATCTAAGTTCACTACCGGAGTTCAAAGTGAGAGGGAGTCAGTTGTTTCCTCCCTTGCTGAGCTTCAGAAGTTGACAGAAAATTGTGATTTCGATAACTACCGAAATGTAATGATCAAGGATCGTTTGCTGGTCGGGGTGAAAATCGTTCGCACTCAGCACTGCCTGTTGGCATTGGAAATTGCCTATAATGTTACCACGGGTATGGAGGCTGCTAAAAATAACGTCTAGCTTGTACAGAATTTGCCTCTGAATGCAAAGCCATTTTTTGCAGATGTCCCAGCTGAAGTCAACAAATTTGACGAAAACATCAAGCGTTCGTTCACTTGCTACTGTTGCAGCTTAATGCACATCCATCCCAAAGAGCGTAGCCACGTTCAGACAAATTGCAACTAATGCCAAAAATGTGGACATTCGGCCCATATGTGTCAGTCTAGTGCAAACCCACATTCACCGGTGTAGATAACAAAGTGTTTGCTAATGAGTCACACAAACACATATTACACGCAAGTACCCTACGCGAACAGCCACAGTTTTGCATACAGCTTTTTGTTAATCAGATTACAGTGAAGTTCAAACTTGACGCGGGCAGTGCAGGAACGTTGGGCAAAGAGCCAACTT